TCTCTCTCTCTCTCTCTCTCCACCCTCTCTCTTCCCGTGCATTTTTACTCTACTTTATTAACTCTCCAAGATCCCACCTATCTATGACAAGCATTTTTCTCCTCGACACGGGGTGGCCGTTTTGGAATATGTCAACAGTTTTTAGTCGTGCTTCTCGTATATATGTCCATTGTCCACAGCTCACCGACAACTCGCTATCTTAGAATTACAAAGTTCTGTCTGACGTGTTTGCCCGTTTTGAGTTACTATGACCATGAGGTCAGAAAGCAAATGATCTCTAGAATCTATATCTTCTATAAAAATCATAAGATTATTGGTAGTCTTTAACAAGATATTCAAAGAATTGCATACGAAAATGCTTGACGTAATATTGTAAAACTCAAAATTTTTACGTCCAATTTTCGAAACTAGGTACTTAGCAGAGAGAACTTTATTGTAATTCAAAGGTAGCGACTGTCCAAGACGCCCACCTGTCTATGGCAACCATTTTTCTCCTCGACATTAGGTGGTCGTTTTAGACAATGTCGATTGGTTTTAGTCGTCCTGCTCGTATGTTCTTTGTCCATAACTCACCAACAACTGTTTTGTCTCAGTGCAGTACTGGGGACTTAGGAGGCTTCCTGTCACGACCAACAGAGACTGGGAGTGGGAAGGATGCAGACGCTCTTTTGGCAATATTGTAGCGTTATTATTGTTTCTTCACTATCTAATGATTTTGGATAAAAGTTCACTTCGGTCGCCAATTCTTAAAATAAGCTGAAAGCGTCTTTCTTGCTTAACGTCTCAGTGACCTAAATGTGGCCCCCATAGAGAGTGGAGACTCCAGTGCCGACCGGCGTTTGTGGTGCAGCAGTTAGGCCCATCGCTGTGGCATGCAAAAGACCTGAGTTCGACTTCTGTGTGGGGAGTACCTTTATCGACTATCTTGGTCTTCCTTCCGTGATGTTGTGTCCCTCCCAGCCTGGGTTGACCCTGACAAGAAAGGTCGTAGCTCGCCTCTTCAATGGTCGGAATTGTGTCGATGGCGGCTTGATAAAAACACCTACATTATAAATAGGCACCTGGTGTGTTTTAATGTTCAAGTATTGATGGGGGTTGGGGAAGGGGTGG